TTCTTTCAGCTCGAATATATGAAAACAGTATAAAGTACATAGCAACTCCCTGTATTTTCTGATAAGCCAAAGCTGAATTTATTCTAAATATAAGCCAAGTTTTGCATGTTCATGGAGCCTGGTGAAATGGGCATCTTACTTGGGAGTTTACCACCTGGAAAGTTAGAAGTGACACTTCAGCATGAAACCAAAGTACCACAGGGCCTGACTCTGAAATAGCGACCAGCAGCGTGGGCTTCAGGCGGCAACTCAGAGGGATCAGTGCATTTTCTTTCCTAAAATCTGCCTGACAGTGCTCTAAGTCCAAAGGCTGTGCCAGTTCTTTTCCAGCTTCTGCTTCCCTACTGTCTGCCTCTCACATTACAAAAGAAATAAGACCTCTCTCCAACTCAGTCTGGAGCCACTGTGGGGCATCAGTTCTCAGAAGCTTCATCTTGAGATCCCTTTCTGGCTTTAAAAATTATCTAGAACCAGTTTTTGCTCATGTGGGTTATGTCTGTTGGTAAGTACTGAATTAATGAATTAAAATAAAAAACTTTTAAAACCCAAGAATACACAAGCACACATTCCATCAGCTAAGAGAGCTAATGCATCACACATTATACAGCCTCTGGAAAATTCCCTCACTTATTCCTGACAGAATGAAAGTTAAGAAGGTAAATAACATCTTACTGTTATTACAGAAACAGTTTTCATCCTAAGGACCCCTAAAAGGGCCTCTGGGATGCCAAGGAGTCTCTAGAGCCCACTTTGAGAAAGGCTGCTGTAGTGCATTGGCACAAGGTTGAGAAATTCCCAGATCACTACATAAAAAATGCCAAATTTTGTCCAGCAAAGAAGTTGCCTTTCCAATAAAATTCTACTTTTTACATGTAAGAATCATATATATGGTTTCGATGAGTTGTACCATGATAATAATTGTAAGGACAGTCAATCTAGAAGAAATTTTTTTTCTAATTTCAACATACATGTGTAATTTTGTTGCAAAGAAATATTCTAGGATGATTAACCAGTAACTTACACACACACACACACACACACACACACACACACACACACACACATGCCCTTAGGGTGAAAGTCTACAGGAGAAATAGAAAAGTTGTGATGGAAAACCTCTGTCTTCTGGAGGAAATTATTTCGGTGGGTGGTGATGCTGAGTCTCTCATCCCAACAGTGTGTATGATGCACTGGAGCCTCTGTAGGACTTTTACTTTAATATGTTGGGATATGCAGGACTCCTGAAATTATATATTTTTTTAAAATTTGAGATGCAAACCTCAAAATGTGTGAGAGGCTGCATACATTTCTCAGAATTGTTTGGGAGGAATACAAGCAGAAGATACAATAACTCCTGAGTCAATTTTTATAGATGTGGCTGATGGGTTTGTAATCATTATTCTTCAGTGAGATAAATCGTTTATTTATTGGCAGTTTCATCTCTCAGTCGAGAGAAGGGGACCAAAAATGTGACAAGAGATGACTCCTACCTGGAATTTTAGTTTCTGAGCACTTGATATTGTCAAGACAATGTCATTAAGCAGTTCAGTTCAGAATTTTCCTCCGTCTGAGGGAAATACTCCTCATCTTGGAATATTAAAGTACCAGAAGTGTTCCTCATAGCTTATAGATCACTCTTTTTGAGAAGCAAAAGTTGCTCCAGAATTGTAGGGCAGAGGTGCACACATTTGCTTTTCTCTTGAGAGGCTGTGTTGAGTCAGGACAGACTTCTGTCTGGATGGAAAAGAACAGAAAGTCATCAGCACCGCTTTTTCTGTGTGCTTCGAATCCTCAAGGGAAGCACCCACGTAAAAGGGACCAGGTCTGCATTTCTTCCTAGAACTTCTCCGAGACACGATCCCCTGCCAGCCACCTGGCCTGGCCTCAGGGCAGTGTTTACCACACGGGCATCCAACATGCCACTGCCTTTCTTGGCTGATGCCCAGCTGGGCTTCCCCTGGGACTTGTTCCTCCTTGCTTTTTCTAATATTTAAGTGACAGGCTTTGAATTTTAAAATAACCAGGTGGAAAATTTTCAACACAAGTAGATGGATAGAAGAAAAAAAAAAGCTTTTCAGGCAAGAAGCAAATGGTGGTGTATTTGCAAGAATTCTGTCTAACTGTCCTTGTCCAGCGTATGATGTGACCTCTGTGCCAGATGATGCCTTTGTGTGTCAGCGATAGAATTTCCAGATTCAACCAGATGGTATATATGGCTGTGCTCTTTAAAAATGATCTTTATTGTTTTAGAATGGTTCTAGATTTATAGAAAAATTATGGAGATAATACAGAGTTTTCTCCTATACTCCACCCTCACTTCCCCTAATAGTAACATCTTATATTCATGTGGTATATTTGTTACCATTAATTAACCAATACTGATATGTGATCATTAACCAAACTCCATACATCATTCAGATTTCCTTAGTTTTTCTCTAAAGTCTTTTACTGTTGCAGAGATTCATAGGATTTAGTTGTCACATCTCCTTAGGCTTCTCTTCTTGGGTGTCACAGTTCCTCAAACTTTTCCTCTTTTTAATGACTCTGACAGTTTTGAGGACTACTGGTCAGGTTTTTTTGTAGAATGTCCCACGATTTGGGCTGTCTAATGTTTTTCTCATTTTTCTCATGATTAGACTTGGGTTATGTATTTGGGAGGAAGACTACAGAGGGGAAGTGCCATATTCATTATGTCCTATCAAGGGTACATTCTGTTAACATGACGTAGCATGTTAGTGTTGACCTTGATCATCTGGCCGAGGGAGTGTTTGTCAGTTGGAAGGCTTTTCCTTTAAGGCCCTGCCCATACTGTCCTCTTGCAGTCACTGTGCAGCCCACGCCTAACGGGTCAGGAGTTGGTGCTCCTCCTCCTTGAGGGCAGAGCATCCACAGAAATGACTTAGAATTATTCTGCATGCAACACTTATCTATTCTCTCTCATCTATTCAATCATTTATTTATATCAGTATAGACTTGCATGTATTTATTTTATACTCTGTGTTACAATTCAATGCTCCTTCATTTATTTTCATCAAATCGTCCCAATTCGACCACTGGGAGTTCTTTGAGTGGGCTCCCATGTCCCTTTGCTGTGCTCCTACTGAGGCAGAGCAGGGACATGGGACAAGCATCATGATTAACTTTTCCTGCTGATGATGAAAAATGCCAAGATATAAATAGTATAGTAAGAACAGGAGGGACTCCATCTTAAGGCTAAGATTCCATTTTAACAACCAGGGAGTTAGGAGGTAAGATTCCTAACGTATTTTATGGTAATCAGCCAATAACCCATTCTTTCTTAAGGTGGGGCAAGCAGTCCTAAGTGATATGCCCCACTGCTTGAGGGTAACCACTATCTTAGAGAAGAACAAGATCAAGAAGTTCCTTGTGTTAAGTTTACCTTACAGAATATCAAGAGGACAGACTATGGATGGTGACATAAGTCTCTCACTGGAGATGGACATCATGAAACCAAATGTCAAGCCTGTGCCCTCATTTCCCCCACCCTTTGCCATTCTTGAAAGTCTTAAAAGACAGAACCCTAAGCCCTTAAGTGCACCACCTCTCTGACGTTGCCCACCCTCCCCTTTCTTCAAATGTGTAATTTTTGCCTTAAATAAAGCCTTCTCGCTGCTCAGCTTACTGTATTTTGTCTCTGCGCTCTTCCAGTGGTAAATGTCTTTGTCATTTTATTTCATTCTATTTTCTAGACTTAAGCACAAGTCTTCACTCTCTCTGTCCACTTCAGATGAGTAGGGAAGGGCTACTGAGATCTCTGACTTGGACTTGCAAGTTTGCGTTGCCTGGGACAGGATTGCAGCTGTACAATCCTGCTCTTTAGTAGCCTGCCCCAAACTCTCCTTTCTTTGTCTCTAGGAAGTTCTCAGAACATAATCTCACTCCATCCAGTGCTCTGTGGCTCCCCCAACTCCTGGGGTGGTACAGACTTAGTCCTCATGCTGTGCAGACCCAAGAGGACCCTGGCTTTGGGAGTTGGCAAGGGATCTGCCCTATGCTGAGCAGGAGTTCAGTGAGCTTCCCTTTCCTCCCTCTGCTCTTCTTACAAAGCAGCTGCCTGCAAAGCAGCTGCCATTCCCTGATACTCTCTCTTTAATGAATTCCTTCCTCACCTACACTTCAGTGTGCGGGGAGAGACCAAGATGACCAAAACCTTCCCAGATGCAGCTGCCTGACAATGTCATGCTGTGTGTGTGTTGTGTGCTGTGTATATTATATTTTCTTCAAGGCTTATTTTATGTGTTTCCTGCTCCAATCTGAGAGTCAGCCATTTCTCCAAGGAGCTCGGATTCCTTTTATTAGAGAATAGCATTAGAAACAAAAGATCTGGATTTTCTATTTAAAAGACCTCTGCTTTTCTATTTAATGACTCAGATAATTTTTTAAATTTCTAAGATTTCTTCAAACTTCTAAAATGGTAGAATTTTTCTTCATTCAGCACTAGTGTCTTATAGAGTAATAATAATGCCTTGGATTTGTGTGATAATTCCATATGAATTGACTATCAAAAAAGGATTCGTTACAACAGATCATCTCCAATGTTAAAGACTGTGACTCCTATCCTGCTGTTCCCGGTATTCTGAACTATCCATAGTGTGTGACATGGTATGAACTGTGGGGCTGAGCAGCAGGGCACTGTCCTGTGAGTCTCAGAGGCCGCTTTCTTGATATTGGGGCCAGCAGTTCCCACACCTCCTTGCAGAAATTAAAATCTAACTGATAACTGCTTTGTTTCATAATGTCTCACTTCCAGGGAACAGGAAAGGATCCCAGTGAAGAGCTGCCTCTTAGGCTCATGCTGCCTTGCTCCTGGTATCCAGGGTTTAATCCCAGATTTGCTTTTCAAACACCAGCACATATTAAAAATTAACTTTGCACTTATGGCTTGAAGCAGTGAACCAAGAAGTAATGACAACTGTAGGATTCTGGTGAACAGCAGCCTCTTCTCTGCAGCTGGCCTCATAGGTATCCTTCCATTCCAGGTCTGACCGAGACAGCCGTCTTCAGTTGCGAGGCCCACAATGACAAAGGGCTGACTGTGTCCAAGGGCGTGCACATCAACATCAAAGGTAAGCAGCAGGGCTGGGTCCCCTGAGCGTGTTCTGGGAGCTGGTGGAGTGACATCAGAGGAGCTCTGTAGCCAGCTGCCCAGGTTTGAGCCCTGGCTTCCCCTCTCACATCCTTTGTGACCTTGGACAAGTCACTTAACCTCTCTGGCATCAGTGTTCCCCTCTGCAAAGCCGGGATAATTACAGAATTGGCCTATTCTTAAGGCTTCAATGCAATGATTCAAGTGAAAGCACTCACAACAGTGCCTGGAACTAAGTCTTTCAAAAACATCAACTGGTCTAGCTTTGCTTTGGTCTGAGAAGAAAATAGGCGGAAATGTTTATCCTTGACTACTTTAGCTCTTGTTTTCACTATTCCCTCTTCCACCCTGAACTAGCTCCCATTGCCCTGTGAAGAGCCCCCGAGGGGATGGGGTGGCTGAGGGCACTGATGGAAGGCATGGGCTCTGTCCTTCCCAGGGCAGCTGGGCTGAAGCAAATCTCCACCTGCTACTGCTCAGAGGGAGGGAGAGGAGCCGGGAGAGCAGGTCAAGCGCTCTTCCTCCAGGACACAAAGCTCCTGCCCCTTTTCCCCTTATCTCCCTTCCCTCCTGCTCCCTCTGAACAGAGATACAGTGTAAGGGAAGGCCTTGTGTTTGAAGGTCCGCATGTGGGTGAAGACATTCTAATTCAATCATTCAACCCTTCTTCTTCCCTCTGTGGGATCAAAGGTACTTAAACCTGAAGTTTAAAAGGAAAGAAAAACCTCAAAGTAAATGTGTTCTTATCTCCTTTCAAATCATCTTCTTTACCCTCTCTCATAGATATTCAAGCAAATTTTATGTTTTAGTATTTCTTCTTAATTTAAATATTGAGAAGCAAAGATTGAGTTCATATTCCTTTTCCTTGGAGCAACACAAGAGAAAAAGCAGCATGTGTTTAATAATGAGTTAAAAGCTGGGTGCACAGCAGGGTCTCAAAATTGCAAAGGAAGTTAGTTACACTTTAAAAAGGTGCTGCTGTTGAGTTTCTGTAAGTCAGCTAGATGAAGAGGATGAGTGGCATTTTATAAAAGCTCATTGGAAGAAGAAAAGCAAACTGAAAGTCATCAGTGGAGGAACTGTATAACTTCCTTCCTTCTATTGCAAATCCTGTTATTACAGTGTTCATAAGAAATGTTAAGAATTTCAGGAATTTATGAATGGGCGTAAATTTATAGAGACATTTTTGCAAACTACAAACATCTCAGAATATAAAAATCCATAAAATGAGAAGTATTAATTGTGTGCTTCACACAGAATCTCAACTAATTTTTAAAAAAGTAAATCCTGTTTCCAAAGTTGATGTGTGTGGCTTTCATTCAATTAGAAATTTATGTCAAAGCCACCCAGTCTCCCTTCTTTTAATCTGTTCTAAACTCCAGTATATGTGGCCCAGTTTTGACCTTGGAAAGGCAGATATTTTGGGGCAATCCTACAAATAACCTCTGTAGGGAAGTGAGTCAAGCCATATGCTGATCCATTCCCACTCTTCAAGCTGTGTGTCTACTAGGAACATCGGAAATCCTGAACCTGGTGTCAGCACACGCTTACTCTGGTCCCAGCCTTCCTCCCCGCTTGTTCCCGCCCATCCTCCTGGCCTTCACTCCATGCATGTGCTCCTCATTTAATCCCACCACGGCCCCACAGAGCAGTGACTACCATCCCCACTAAGAGAAAGGGGGCTGAGTGTAGAGAGGGCATTCGAATGCCATGGCTATACACCCAACCAAGTGGTGACCAGACCCCCTGTCCCTGCTGGTGCCCACCCTGATCAGTTTGCTGTCTCCAGTGTCCTCTTGAGGGTCAGGCAGACCCGAGTTCAAGTCCCTATGCTTCTGCTCAGGAGCTCTGTGGCCTTTGGCAAGTTTTTTTCTGATAACTCAGTTTCCTCAACTGTAAATGGGTCTTGTGGGACTACCTCTCTGATAGGGTTCTGGTAATGATTAAATGAGGTCCATAAAGTGCTCGCATTTAGTTAAGTATTCAGAAACATTAGTTGTCATCTTTGTTTATGTGATTTATGTGATTATTACTATTAATAAAGAATTTACCAAAAAAAAAAAAAAAAAGAATTTACCATAAGAAAATAAGACCCCAAACTTTAGATCCTTCTTAGTCTTTGTTTTTTATTGGAATACAGTTGACATACCATATTACATTGGTTTCAGATGGGCAACCTGGTGCTTGGATAATCATATACATTACTAAATGCTTACCATGTAAGTGCAGTTACCCTGCTACCATACCAAGGTATCACATATGTTAAAATGCCTGCCCATGTCCCACGTGTGGCCAGGGTCATTGCATGCTCATTATGGCATTGTCCCCACCCCTCAAACAGATGCAGTTGGCTCTTTGGCTTGAACTGGCCCTTACCTGTTTCTTTGGCCTGGAAAGTCTCTCCTTGCCCTGCACATGCGCACACACACTCATGCTCTCTTCTCGGCACAGGGTGCTCTTCTCAGTTGATGTGGGTCTCCCCCACACAGGGCAGGGCACACAGCAGGATAGCGAATACGCGCTTAGTAAAGGAAATGATGTCTCCCCATTTGTTTACAGCTAAAAACTCTCACTTCATCCGTGGCGGGGAAACAGGCCTATGTTCCATGTCTCTGGCCCAAGCAGAACCATCCTGTCCCTGGATGCCCTGTCTCTAGGCTAATATGATTACTGTCGGGCGTAGGGTAGCTTCTCTTTAAAACCTCATTTTCTTAATCGTAAGAAACAAACAGCCTTAGGGTTTATGCATTTGTTCGGTAGCTCTGGCCTCCTGTGGCTTCTAACCGTGTGTGTGCATATCTTTGTTTTTGATGTAGTAATTCCCTCCCCACCAACTGAAGTCAGTGTCCACAACACCACCGCCCACAGCATCCTGATCTCCTGGGTCCCAGGTTTTGATGGCTACTCCCCCTTAAGGAACTGCAACATTCAGGTAAGCCTCCAGGATGAAGAGGGAAGTACTATTTGGTGCTCTGTGGTTTTTAGGTATCTCCCTGAGGATGGAGGGCATTTCAGTACCCATGGTTAGAGCCTATTGACTCCACCCCTGCTCTGTGTCCACTGTGCATGCACCGTTTCATAATGTTCTGTCCCTGGGATGCTGCCTCCGTCATGTGCATGGTCCAAGGGCCAATGAGAAGGGAAACATGTTTCTAATATAGAATTTCATGAGACCAGGGAGAAATAATTTTTTTTTTTTGAGAGGGAATCTCTCATATTTATTGATCAAATGGTTGGTAACAACAATAAAATTCTGTATAGGGGACTCAATGCACAATCATTAATAAACCCCAAGCCTAATTCCCAACAGTCTCCAATCTTCTGAAGCGTAACGAACAAGTTCTTACATGGTGAACAAATTCTTACATAGTGAGTAAGTTCTTACATGGTGAACAGTGCAAGGGCAGTCAGCACAGAAACTTTCAGTTTTGATCACGCATTATGAACTGTAAACAATCAGGTCAAATACGAATATTCGTTTGATTTTTATACTTGATTTATATATGAATCCCACATTTCTCAGGGAGAATTCATTTGTAAGGTACAGAAACATTTCTCTAACTTAGTGGCTTGTGACCAGGAGTTCAAGAAGCCAGCTACTCCTCAGTCTAGCTCCTGTTGGGCTGGTGGCCATGAAGGACGGACACGCAAACACAGGATGGGTCATCTCTGCTGTTGAATGTAGCACCTTGGCCTGTGGCCTCTGAGGAAACTGGAGTATTACAGGCCTTGTAAAGTCTTCACTCTTTTTTGACTACCACCTAAAATTGGTATAAAATAGTGCTGCAAGGAATACAGGTTAGCCATCCGAAAACATACATACCCTGCCTTGATGTGGGTTCTGCTCGTAGTGTTCATTTAGTCAAAATGGAAGGGGTTGCAATAGCCCTTATGAGGGCCTTCTATGGCCCAGGGACTTTGCCCACATTACCTTACTAAAACTCATACCAGAGCTTCAGGCTGGGAGTGCTCACAGAGCCTGCGCATAGCAGAACCAGAATTCAAGCTCCAATGCCAAAACGCAGTGCTCAGAACCATCTGCCCTCCATGCTCAAGTGAGGCATTGCCTTTGGGGCAGGTCATGGAACACGTGTACATTATCTACTGAAGACATGAATGCCTTCTGCCTTCTCCTTTGTCATGCAGTAGGAGCAGGGATAGTTCTTAGTTTCATAAATGTCTGGTCTTATTAGTTAAAAACATGTTAACCTGATGGAGGCCAGCCACGCCAACTCAGCTTAAAGAAATGACTTCCACAGAATTTTGTGTGTTGACAGCCAAGCGTTTTTAATACCAGACGGAGTTAGTTTCTCTGCTCTTCCTGCCACCCACTCTTGTCTAACAGCTGTTCCTTCTCTGAAGAGCAAAAGCATGTATTATCCTCAAAATAGCCTCCACCCTAAACCCACCACTCCAGTCTTGCTTAATCCTGCCCAACTTTATTTGTAAATCTCCCAAATACCAGTAAGGGTTAGGAATTCTTATTGTATCTACAAAGTCCTCTCTAGGGATATCCTTTTAAACAGCTCTTTTTGAGATATATTGCTTTTACCCATTTAAAGGTAAAATTCAATTTTTTTTATTTAGTATATATCACCATTATATAATTGTGTCTACATTCATAAGAGATACCAGCCAGTAGTTTTCTTGTTGTTAGCTTTTTCTTGTGATTATACTGGCTTTATAGAATAAGTTTAGAAGTATTCCTTCCTCTTCTGTTTCTTGGAAGAGTTTGTGAAAGATTGATATTAATTCTACTTTAAATATTTGGTAGAAATCCCCAGTGAAGGCACCTTGTATTGAGCTTTACTTTGTGGAAATTATTTGAATATCAGCTCAACTTTTTACATGGTATAGATCTATCCAGATTTTCTATTTCTTATTGAGTCAATTTTGGTAGTTTGTGTGTTTCTGGGAATTTGTCTATTTCCTCTAGTTATCTAATTTGTTGGAATATAAGTGTTCATAATATCCCATTATAATCTTTCTTTTTCCTTTAAGTGTATAATGTCCCCTTTTTCATTCCTGATGTTAATAACTTGAGTCTTTCCTCTTAACATTTCTTGATCTTACAGCTGAAGATTTGTCAGTTTTCTTGATTAAAACCCAACTTTTGGTTTTGTGAACTTTTTCTATTCTTTTTTTCTCTTCTCTATTTCATTCATCTCTGCCCTAAACTCTTATTTCCTTTCTTCTCTTTGCTTTGGGTTAGTTTGTTCTTTATTTTATTTTTTTTTAGGTTTCTCAAAGTAGAAGGCTAAATAATCGATTTGAAATTTCTTTTTTAACATGGGCCTTTATACTATACATTTCCCTCTAAGCACCATATTAGCTGCATCCCATAAGTTTTGTTACTTGGGGTTTTTTTTCCTCATTCATCTCACATTTTTTGTCATTTTCCTTGTGATTTCTTCTTTTTCCTATTGGTTACTTAGGAGTGCATTGTTTAATTTTCACATAGTTGTGAATGTCTCAAATTTTCTTCCCTTGTTGCTTTCTAATGTTGTTCTGTTGTGTTTGGAGGATATACTTAGTATGACTTCTATCCTCCTAAGCTTATTAAGGTTTGTTTTATAGCATAGCATTTGTTTTATCCTGGAGAATGTCTATGTGCACTTGAGGGGAAGGTATACCCCACCCTGGTTAGGGACCCTAGATGCTTGTTAGGTCAGTTAGCTTATGGTCTTGCTTGCTTCTGTTTCCTTGCTGATCTTCTGCTTAGAGGTGCTATTATTGAAAGTGAGGAATTGAGGCTTAACTATTGTTTTTGAATTGTCTGTTTTTCTCCCTGCAATTCTATCAGTTTTTGTGTCATATATGTCAGGGCTGGAGCAACCAGGAGCTGTTTCCCTGTTAATGGACATGACTGAAGCATGGGCTAGCCCTTTTTAATGGTTGCTAGGCTGCATGGAGAGTCCAAGAGGACATGAGACTGCTTCTCATATAAGGGTGGTTCCCTTCAGGGAGACTTTGATCAAGAGCGCTGCCCCCACCTTGAGAGATGAGTCTCAGGGTGGAGGTGAGGGGCATTTAGGGTGGTTGGAAGGACTCAAAACACCAGGTCCCCTTGAAGGTGGCAGATGATCACACACAAGCTTTACCTGCTCTCTCGGTCGGCCTTGGTTTTGGGTAGCTATGGCATGAAAACCATCCTGTGACTGTCAAATTGCAGGCCTCCCGTGCCTTCCTTGCATTGGAGTGTCAGATGCAGTTATTCTGTCTTTACCCCACCTGCTTGCTCAGCCTCCCTTCATCCATTCTCCTTTCCATCTCTGGTAGCACTAGCAGGTTTAGCAACCAGGAGTACAATTAACTTTACAAGTTAAATTACATGAGAGATAACTGGATATCCTTTATTTTCTTTAACAATCCTAGCAGGGTTAGCTAGGACTGGCTGTAGAAGTCATACTTTTCTATTCTGCTGATTAACACTATTCTCATTTCTGAAGGAACCAAATGCAGTTTTTAAGCAAGTTCTCAGTCCATTACAATTTTAAACTCTGACTTGGTGACAAATGAATGTTTGGATGAGATTCAAATCTACACACAGAAGGACACACCCTCTCACTTCCTTTGGTCCTGATGCTTGGTTCCCTTCTTCACCCATTTTTGGGCTGCATACTCATCTCTATTTTTAACTCTTCCACGTACTTCTTGCCGTTTCATGACCTCTTTTCCCCCAGGACCCGCTGAGAAGGACTGCTATAGAAACCCTTCAGGAATGAGCTCCCAGCATGTCCCTGTGCCTGGAAACGGTCCACACATGGTTCCGGAAGTGGGGCGGGGGTGCAGAGCCAAATGTTTCCTCCCTGCTAGTTTCAGTGGTTGTTCACCAGGAAGTAGGTGCTTACTTTAAAGTGAATAAACAGAAGGTAATTTCTGCCAGCAGCCACCACTGGGATAAGCATAGGACTCCTTGCCCTCCTTCAGAGGCTCTGCAGGCCACCTGAGTCCTTTCTTGTCACCCAGTGGGCATCTGTGGGCCTGAGATGTGAGACATGGGTCTTAGACATGAGTCTCAGCCCCAGCACCACTGCTGTGGGGCCCACTAGAAGATCTGGAATCCCAGCATGTTGATTTGTGGCCCCTTGGCCCAAATTTCAACATATGTATCCTGAAGTAATAGCATTGTGTCTCCATACTCCATGATAATATATGACATTATATATAATATTGGTACTATTTGGAAAACACAAGCTTTAAGATTTTTTCCCAAATTGCTTTTGGTTACTTGTGTTTTATTGGATACTATTTTGTCTTTTATTATTTTGTAAGTACTGCATTATTGTAGAAAATTTGAAAAACATGTAGGGGAGAAAAACCACTCTCTCTTATCCCCATTCCGAGACAGTAGGTGTGCTCAAGGAAAAAGGGTGAAGTTTGGTTGGACTAGGGTTTTCCTGGGAATCCCTCCCTGTGTCCCATCTGTGCGCACTGAGGATGTCTGGAGAGGGCTGTGGAGAGACTGGTGGAGTGTATGGAGGGAAGGATGAAAGGAAGGATGCAGAAGAATATGTTCTAAAGTAACTTGGAGAACATTTGTTGGGTGAGGTGCACATGACCTTTTCCTGTATCTCTCCACCAAAAAATGTCACAAAATCTACATTATCTATCTGCCACAGAGTTGCATTTATACTGGGTGGGAGGCAGAAATAAAGGACATACTAAAATTAGTCTCAAGGCAAGAGCAGAGGTCCTCAGATTACACGCTGAAAATAAACACAGATTTTTTTTTTAATCCAGTATTCCATCTTCTGAAGTAGGATTTGGGAAACATTTTCTTTAAAGGACCAGACAGTAAATATTCTAGGCTTTGCCCCTACGTATGATGTGTGTTGTCTTTGTTGTATATTCTGTGAAACAGCTGAAAGAAAAAAATCAAGAATTGAGGTGGTTCTAAGAGAGGAAGGGCTACTTTATTTTATGTTGTATTATAACATTAATTAGAATCATTACAATACTGTGATGATAATTATTTGCTCTGTTACCTACCACAATGGGAACACCTATTTCAGGCATTTTCCTCAGGTCCTCAGTTGTTGCTCAAGTAGCATGAGTAACGCAGAGGAATGCTGGTAGGAACGCTCGTGTGTGTCCTGAAAGGAAGCAGGTACTTCCGCTCCTGAGAGGAAGGGTCACAGCACCGGAGGCATATGTCTGCTGTGCCTGACGTTCCCACCACCTTACTAATGCCTGGTCCGCATTTGTATTCTTTGTGTAGGTCAAGGAAGTTGATCTGATGACTCGTGGCTCAGTCATAATTTTTAACACCTCTGCTTCAACACATCTGTATCAGATTGAGCAGCTGCAAGCTCTGGCTAATTACAGCATTGGTGTGACCTGCATGAATGAAATTGGCTGGTCCGCAGTGAGCTCCTGGATTCTGGCCAGCACTACTGAAGGAGGTAATTCCTGGAGTTCAATATTGTTCCTAATGGTGTGTGATAAGACAAATCATTCCCAGTAACTTGATATAGACTTTAAATTTTGCTTTGTTTGCTCTTTGTCTCCAGAGGACCATTTTAGTGAGATAACCAATGAGAACTAGGAAGGATGGTATTTCCTTCTATACTTTGAAAGGGTTTAATTACAAAACTTATGCTTACTATATATACCTCATGTTTTCTTCTAAATATTAATATCTAAGAAGAGATTAATAGCAACATACTCTTTATAGCATATGTTATTTTTAATAAAAATATGATAATATAAAAGTTAACTACTCATTGCATCCAACTCAAGAAAACCAATGAATGTAAAGATGCTGATGTTCACCAAGCACTTACTACATGTCAGGGACCATGTTAGGTACAGACATTATTTTATTAGATCCTCAGAGCAGCAGTAAGAAGGAGGTATTATTATCTCTGTATTATCTTGCTCACAGCACATTTTACTTATATCTTTAATACATCTATATTTTCACGTGGTATCTTACTTTCTTTTTAAGTACTTCATCATTTCTTACAGTATAGATCTAGTGAGGAATTGAATTTATGTGTGTCTGAATAACATCTTTGCCTTTGAGAGTTTTTGTTTGGGGGGGGTTGCCTGTTTTTTGAGAGATAGTTTTGCTAGATATAGAATTCTAGGTTCAGTTTTTTTTCCTTTCAGTACTTTAAAAATGTTACTCCATTCTTCCTGCTTGCATTATTTCTGATAAGAAATCTACAGTAATCTTTAATTATTCCTCTATACATAATGTATCTTTTGTTTCTAGTTTTTCCTATCCCTGTTGATTTTGAACAATTTAATTATGATGTGCTTTGGTGTAATTTTCTTTATATTCATTGTGCTGGGAGGTTCATTGAACTTGGATCTCTGTGTTTGTAGTTTGCATCAGATTTGGGAAGACTTTAGCTGTTACTTCTTTAAATATTTTTTTCAGTTCCCACCCCTCCTCCTCTTTAAGGACTCCAATTACACATATATTAGATCACTTGAAAATGTTTCATAACTCAGTGATGCTCTTGATTTTTGACCCTAGTCTGTGTTGTACTCTGGATAATTTCTATTGCTATGTTTTCAAATTAACTAATCTTTTATTATGTAATGCCTTATTTGCCATTAATCCTATCCAGTGCGTATTTTCTTTTTTTTTAATTCAACTATTGCATTGATACACAATCTGATACTGTTTTCAGACATATAACACAGTAGTTCAAGTTCCCCATATTATTAAATCCTCACTCCCTCTAGTGCAGTTACCATCTATCAACATAGAAAGATGTTACAGAATCATTGACTATATTCTCCATGTTGTACTACCATCCCCGTGACTTATTTATGTTGTTATTGCAAATTATTGTGCCCCTTTCTCCCCCTCAACCTTCCCCCTACCCACTCCAACTTCTTCCCCTTGGTAGCCACTTGTCACTTCTCAGTGTCTATGAGTCTATTGGTGTTTTGTCCAGTGTATATTTCATATCTCTTTTTGTCTCTCTCTTTTTTTTTTTGGTATCTTTCATGTTTCTACTTAACTTTTGGACTGAGTAGAATATAGTTACAATAACTGTTTTAATGTCCTTGCTAATTCTAATATTTCTGTTATTTCTGGGGCAGTTTTGATCGATTCATTTATATTCCTGCTACATATAGTACTTTGCAGTTTCTTTGTATGCCCGGTAATCTTATTTGATCCCCCTCATTGTGAATTTAACCTTGTTGGATGCCAGATATTTCTGTATTTCTATAAATATGGGGCTTTGTTTTGGAACACTGTTAAACTGTTGGATAAAGATTGATCCTTTGGTATCTTGCTTTTAAAATTTGTTAGGCAGAACCAGAACCGTGCTCAGTCTAGGATCAGTTATTACCCACTCTTGAGATAAGACCATTATGTACTCTGTCTGATACTATTTGAATTATTAGATTTTTTCAGTCTGATTGACAAGAACAGACGTTATTCCTAGCCGTTAGTGAGCCCCAAGCACTCCATTGCCTTCTCCTGGGTATTTGTTTATCTTGGTTCACTCTCTAATTTTCATGGACCACATTCATGGACCTCCAGGAAGAGTCTGTATAAAAACTAAAAACTATGGAAACTTGCATGTGTTTGTGTTATTCTGGATTGGTAAATTTGCCTAATAATAAAATTTTATGTTGGAAATTATCTTCCCTCAAAATTTTAAAAGTTTTTCAGTGCTGTTTTTTAACTTCACAAGTTGCTCTGGAGAATTCTGTTACTTGAGTCTTCTAGGTTAACTGTTGTTTAGTTTTAGTTTTTTTAAATATCTTTTCTTTTTAATCATGGTGCTGTGGTGTGGAATTTATTTCAGTCATGATCATGGGCATTCAGTGGCACTTTTGATCTAGAAATGTAAGTGGTCTGGTTTTGAGACTTTTTCTTATCAATTTTTTTCCTTGAAAATGTTCTTTTTTTCTTAAAAAAATTACATTATATGGTTGTTGGACATCTTTGATTTCTTCTCAGTTTTTTTTCTCAAATCAACCTTTTTAATTTTTCTACTTTTTTTGAGATAGCCTTGATTTGTCTTCTAATTCTTCTATTAAATATTTTTCTTATCATATTGCTAATCTCAAGCATTTTCTTTTTCACTGCCATTTTTTTAGTTCTCAGTTATGAGAAACTTTTCTTATTTTGGGGTATGTTAATTACCAGCTTTGCTTGTTTTTTAGTTTTCTCTAGTTCCCTATGTTGGCTTTGTGTCCTCTGAGCCCTCTGTCCTGTGTGTTGTTTTAGTCCCTGCCATTCATGAAGGAAGCTCCTCCCTGTTGATTTTACACTGTCTGTTCCTACTAAAGAATGAGGAACCAGAAGTTTGGAAGCTCTGTGAGCATGGATGGGGCTTGTAGACATCACTGTCAAGTGATTGGGCAGTGACCTAAGTGTTTTGGTTTGGATATGCCCAAGTATCAATATTGGTTTTCTTTACTATGTGACCACTCACTTACTGTTGAAAACAAGTCCTCTGAACCCTACCTCAGGAATATAAACATGGTTATCAATGTTCTAAGGAGCTGGGTGAGGAGGAAGGGTGACATGGAGTCCTTCTCATTCATTGTCCAAATTTTTACTTACTTCCCCAGTTGTCAGACTGACCCCTCATTATGCCTCCATGCTGCTGGGTACCCCAAGCCCACAGGCTTTTCAATTCATAAAGTATCTGACCTTCTGCAGGAATTTGAGGGAGTACATACCAGGTGTGTGGAAATAGGTTAGAGGGATCTGCAAAACTACTTTTAGTCTTCCATTTTGGGTATGTGGGCCCACAGCTTCTGAGCCTCTCCTTGGTTCTTTGGGGAGAATTGGCTTGCTGGTTAGTTACACCTTCTTCATTTCTTTTTCAGCTTTCAAATGTATGTTGAAATTTCTCTTCCACTGTTGATTTTTCTTTACGTTTTTAAGTTTATACTGTCTTAAATTCCTTACTGTCATTGTGGAAGGGTTTTATGAGAGAGCAGACATAAAGACATGTTGTATCAGCCATGTTTATCCATAAAAAATTCTACAACAGATTTGGAAGAATGTGGCTCATTTCATAGGCACAGCTTTAGCTGTATGATGTTTCCTAAGCTGAAATTGATTCTACCTGCTCCTGGAATCAGCAAAGACATATAGGCTTTTTCTCCCCGTTTACACCTATCAGAAATAAGTAATTTGATCCCCCCTAAAAACAACTACAGTGGATTGGTATATATTATTTTAGTTGTTTTTATTTTTTATATATATAAAATACTTTTTTGTTTCCAAAATGGATCACTGATACATACCTTTTATAATTTGATATTTTTCCTCCATTACATATTTTTTCATATTAATGCACATGATCTAATTCTTTTCAGTGTCTGGGTAGTAAGTATTCCATTGGAAAAATATATCTACATTTATTATATCATAATTATTAACTGAGCATTACCATCATTCTTTTTTGTTCATTATTATGTTTCAGCAAAGGAAATACCATCTACAGGAGAATTTTTCTAGATTGAATTCCTGGAAATATAATACGTGGTCAAAGAGCATATAATTTCCAGTTTTAACAGATATAGTCAAGTTTCTCCCAAAAAAGAATGTAGTAATGGCCTTGACCTGTTATCCAAATTATTTTGTACACATACACACACACACATATATATATACATCTATTTTTGAAGTGATTTAACTTTTATTATCCTTGTATCACCAGAGATAACAGACATTTTGATCTAGAGTGGATATGTGACTTAAGCAGAATTTATTATAAACCAGAGAGTGAAAACCAGTGCTGAATTCTACATTTTGACATTAAGCCCAATAATTAACATTTGACCATTTGGCCTTCAATAAAGGATGTCTTTGACCTTCAATATTGATATGCATTTTTAAAAAATGACTGACTGACTGATTAGCTGTGTTCAGACCATCAGTAGCCTGCCTTTGGACTTTAAGAGCTCTGCAGTGTTCCCTGCCTGTACATCTCACGTGACCCAGCACTGATCTCCAGTCAACCTTGCTGACTTCCTACTGTGCAGGATTCTATTGGATAATCTGTTCAAGTTGATCTGTTTTGCTTTCCCAGGAGGAGTCCATAAATACCACCCACCTCCTTCCCTGCCCTCCTCCTCTTTGTTATTTTAGTTTGGAAAGGGCTTGCTTTTTTAACAGTTGTGTAATATCTTAGTTCTTAACTGAAAAGAGGATACAAGTCTATCAGTCTGTTTCATTTGTATGCTTCCCAGAGAACATTGGAAAACCAAGCATTTAAAAACCCAGAAGAGAGTGAATCTCTGCTTTTCTTTGCTGTTCTTCATCTTTCTCTCCTTTTTCTTTTGTAGCTCCCTCGGTAGCGCCCCTGAATGTCACCGTGTTCCTCAATGAATCTAGTGAAAAGTTGGACATCAGATGGATCAAGCCTCCAATTAAGCGGCAGGAGGGGGAACTGGTGGGCTACCGGATATCTCACATGTGGCAGAGTGCAGAGACTTCCGTAAGTCTGAACTCCAAAAAAGTGTGCTTGTCTCCTTTGATTTGCTGATTTAATACTATTTCCAAAGCTTTCATTTTATTGTGAGAAGACCAGCTATTATTGAGTGAGGCAAAGTTACCTTTCAGTGGGATATGAAGAATGTAGTAAAAACTAGAGGTGACCAAATGGTTAAAAAGTCCCAAGGAATCTTGAGGGCTTTCCTTACTCATTCATTCATCCATTCATTTATTTATCCATTAAATATGTCCAGAACTTACCTGTGGTATCACCTGATTCCTGCCTTTGGGAAACTTGGGCACCTCTAGGAAAACAGTGTAAACTACCCAGATAATCACAGTAAAAGGCCAAGGAGCTCCAGGGCATAGCGGTTGGGCAGTCCATAGCCTCTTGGAAATCCCAAAGGATACTTTTCTGAAGAAGCTTTTCAGGGAGGAGCCCCACCCCCTAGAGAAGGGCCAGTGGTAACCAGACTCCAGAGGAGAAGGCTAAGCAAGTAACAGGTCGCTTTGACACAGCTCTCTTGGAGCCAAAACCAGACATGAGACCCAGAGGGCCAGAGCAAGGCAGTCTGTCCTGACAGCACAGCAGACAGCAGGATCACAAGCCTCAACAGGGCAGTTTCCCCACCTCCAAGCTCCATGGGGCTCCGGGGAGACCCAGTGATGGGCTGTGCTGCTGAGTGTCCCAGGGCTAAGAGCTCACCACCCCATGTGACAAGACACAAACAAGCCCATGCTCCGCACCATTGCATGGTGGTCATGCTGTCACCTTGACCAGCTTCAGTGCCTGCAGTGCTAGCCCCAGAATGGCTCAGGGTCAGGAGACAGTGGGGCCTTACTATTCAGCATGGCCAGTGAGGATGCGCAGGGATGCTCAGGGCTGGTGGCAGCCCACCTCTCCTGGTAAAGCTGGTACTTGATCTGGGCTTGGAATAATGATGACAGGTGAATTCCTCACTTTGAGGAGTGTCCTGTGGGAAAAGGTAATGTGAGAGAAGCCATAACGTGGCAGCTTTGGGGGAATCATGAGTCACTGAATGCCTGGAACATGAATGCTTTTAGGGCGCAGTGTGAGGTGAAGCTGGATGGAACAGTGTGGCCCTTGTACACAGGGTCCTGAGAGTCAGGGCACGGTGTCAGGAAGACTTCAGTAGATGTCAAGGGAGCCAATGAAAATCGTGAGCCCAGGAGTATAATTTGAGTTACATACATATTAGGAAGATGGTCTATATATTAGAAAGATGTTATTCTTTCACAAATAAGAAAAATTGACTTCACTGAGAAAAGTGACCCTCACATCTGCCTTCTTTCTGCCAGAGCGTACTGCCGACTGGCCACGGGCCTCAGCAGTGGCTCCTGCTGCCCTCGCTCACGGAGGAGGCATAGGGGACAGTGGGGCCAGACAGCCCGCGTTGTGGCTGGATGGGGACTCTGGCTGTGAATGAGAGCCAGGGTGTCGCCAGGCGCACCTTCCGAAGACAACTTTGCTTTCCCACCCCAGCCTCCTCGGGCATCATTGCTAGAAATCAGCACCGAGCCGAGCAGTTTGTTTGTTTGGCTCTTTCTTTTCTTTTTTTCTTTTTTTTTTAGCATTGGTATTTTTATTTTCTTTTTTTTTTATTAAGGTATTATTGATATACACTCTTATGAAGGTTTCACATGAAAAAACAATGTGGTTACTACATTTACCGGTATCTTCAAGTCCCCACCCGCATCCCAATGCAGTCACTGTCCATCCGTGCAGCAAGATGCCACAGATTCACTATGTGTGTTTGGCTCTTTCTTATGTAACCTACTTCCCACCTTACAGGCAAGAATGAAACTGCCCTCAGAAGGTGAAGAGTCAGGGATTTTTATGTTTCTTTAACTTACAGGGAAATAGACTACTTGATCTAGAATGATCCCTGATCAATTTCCCACATGCAAGCTTAGTTTCAGCAATGGTGCGGACCTGTGAGACAACGTGTCATACATAGGATCTGGTGCACACATGACACTGCACTCTAATCGTAGAAGTTGGGGGCTGCCTCTGGAACATAACTTCTCTCTATAGAAGCCTGAGCAGAAATCACATCTTTCCTGAGGCCTCTTTCATTGACAAATGTTAACACCTGTACCAGCTACTTGGCTGTTTTGAAAAGACTGGCTTCTGGCTGAAGAATTTATCTATGCAGAAGAAAATGCCTCATGCTTCCCCTTAAAATATATTGTTCTGGCTTTCTATCTTCACAGAGACCCATGTACCTGACATAGAATTGTCTGGTTCCTATTAGAGTGAAGTAGGTCTTGTATGTTTAGAAACAAGAGATTATGAGTTGTCTCCTTGGGCCTTCTGATTAGACCTGTGCATCTGCATCCAGACCAGGGGAATGTGGTTCTGCCAGCAGCAAGCTATACTTTCCTAACCCCACAAAAACGACATAGGCAAAATGTAACAACAAATAGCTTGTGTAACTGGGACCCCGAGTTGCATGGGCTTTCAGACCAGCTGCTCAGGTACACAGCTGGAGTCAGCAGAGCTCGGTCTCTCCCTCTCCCAGCTGGCTCTCCGTGGACAGTCTGCTCCCAGGTCAGCAACCTTTCACTGCTCCAGGTCAGCTGCCAGCAGGAAACCTGGGCTGTGATAAGAGAACAGCCGCCCACCCACCAAAGAAAATGAAGTGATAAATGCTAGAAGATGGAGAACTGCTGCTGAAGGATCCAGAACTAGTTACCCTGCCACACTGTTCACAGCATTGTTTTTTTTAGGGTCTCAGAGAAACAGCCAATACAGAGTGTGTGGGTGTCTGTGTGTGTCTAGAGAGTGAATGAGATTTAAGAACTTGACTCATGAGACTGACCTGCCGTGAAGGCCAGCAGCCTGGGACTCAGTGAGGAGTTGGTGTTACAGCCCAGCAGGCAGAATCCCCTCCTCCTAGTCCTTTTCCTCCCATGGTCTTCAACTGATTGGGTGGGGTCCACCCCCCACCCACATTCCGGAGGGTAACCTGCTTTACTCAGAGTCTACAGATTTTAATGCTGATCTCATCTAGAAAATGCTTTCATAGCAACATCTAGATGAGTGTTTGGCCACCTGTCTGGGTACCATGGCCTAGCCAAGTTGGCACATAGAATGATGCATCACAATTGTCAACAAGTGCTTAACCGAATACCAGTCTGCTCAGACCTGAGATGTGCAGTGATGTGTCAGAACGTCAGATAGCCACTGCCTTAGACTCTAAGACTGGCAAGCTCCTCTGTCGTTCAGTAAGGACTCTCCAGTTTAAATACTAGTTTGATTTTACAACGACAGACAAGGAGTGACAGCCTCCCTCGGTCCCAGCCAGAGTCCTCCTGGCGGGAATGACTTGGTTAGGCATCACTCCAGTCAAGCCCAGGGGGACATCCAGAATCTGATGCTGTGAGGTCTGAACATCACTGCTACGTTGGGAGCACTTGACCCAAACCAGAAGTCGGGGACGCAGCTGAGTGATAATGCTTGTGTGTGGCTGGGTGGACAGCTCCCAGACAGGTCACTTCCCACCTGGAAAGGAGCAAGGTTGGGGGAACACTGACTTCTTTGTGACACAGAGAGTCCTTGGAGGGGCAGATGCATTGGTTCCTCACCAGGGCTGTCTCTCCACTGCCTTCATGGGAAGCATGCCAATTCTGTGTTGTCATACTCCTGATCAGTCCAACCCAGGGATAGATCAGATTTGAGCATCCTTGCGGCATCTGTAGGCAGCATCACCTAAAAGTAATACAGCTTCTTGGCAGGAGAGAGGGATGGGAAACAACTGTACCTACTGAATATAGGCAGGCTTTGTTTCAGTCACTTCCAACCTCACAGTATCCAGCTTTTACCAAAACTGCTGTTCTCCAAATGGCAACTGGGAAGTATTCTTGTTTTCTTCTTCAGTTTACCTATCAGGAAGTAGACTGTTGGAAGCAATAGGTGATGGAAGTAGATGAAAGAGAGAGGGCTTTAGAAGTCCATGACTTGTGGCTCATAGTGAATGAAGGCAGGGTATTATTTGTGCCAGCCAAAATACTGCTTAAGAGAGTTGCCACCAGGAGAGAAGAAGCCTCTTGTTTCCTAGTCATTTGTCCCAGGGCATCTGTGCTAGGTGCCTATTGATTAACAGCATTTCCACACTGGCTAAGTGAAGGGAGTCGAATGCCTCTCTTAGAAAAGAGCTCTTTTTTTTACAGTGCTGAATTCTTAGTATAGTACATGAAGGTTCAATAATTCTGTTTCAGTTCAAGAGGAGTCTGATCTTTGGTTAACAATGTTGATCACCAGCAGACACTTGACTGGTCTAAAAACAAACCAGTCTGTTCAAGAGCTGCAGGTCATCCTCCCTTCTTCTCCTTGTATGTGGGTGCAAGCTGCTTCTCTAGACAGTGGGCCTCTTGAGCTGAGGCGTGCCGAAGGGACGCGTGATGAGCCTGGCACTACATGCCATCACCCCTCGGCAGGGCTGCGCACTCTTGCCTGTTGTTCAGAATGTCCCCTCTGTAGTGAGAACAATGCTGCCACAGTTAGGGCTGTGACCTTTCCAGCGGTTACCTCCCCGGAGATGTCGATCGCCCAGTGAGAAAGTCATTTACATTGTACTCGCACTATACTTTGTGCATCTTGACGGTGTTGTGACCTCAGAACACTCAGTGGCTCACTTTACTTCAGATGACATTCTCGGGTGCAGCTAAGCCTCAAACGCATAAAGCACATTGGAGACAAAAACACTGCAGAAAAGCCAACCCTGAGAGGACCCTAAAACCATGCCCCAAGTGAAGTTCAAAGACCTCTGCACCCATAGGCTCTATCTCCTGAACCCCCTTATTTCAGAAAGGTCTGGAGTTAGACACAAGTTACCTCTCCAAATTGTCCTTTCATTTCCATTTTTATAAAACTTAGTAAAGTATATCTTTATGCAAGGCAATGGAATTGGATATATTTGAAAACATTCCCACTTACTACTCTAATAAGGGTGGTTTTTGTATGCAGCTTCAGAACTTCCTTAGACATGTTCTTGGGTGAGTTACTGCAGTTATGCTGAAAACTTAGTGTTCAGAGTTTATACCATGTTGCCCCACAGCTGTTATATTACTTTCAGACTATGAAACTGCTGATATTTTCTGTACAGACATTTATTAAATCTTGATGAAGATATTGACCTATTTTTGTTCTATTTTTCTTGATACCCCTTGCATTCTAAATCAAAGCTTAAAATCGAAAAGTCAGGAGCAAGTACAATCTGTCCTTCTTGAAGTTGGAGCCATGTCTTGCTCATCTTTGTACGATCTGAACACAGGCCCTTGAACTTGCTTTCTAGGCATTTATGGCATATGGACTCCATGCATAGACCTGGCTGACATCCACACCAGTGAGATTTTCTCTCTGTGAATGGAATAATCTCTGATGAGTGAACTAGTGTTTCCTGTCACATTCCCATAACGTATTAGTAGACATTCTATGAGAAAAAAATCCACTGAGCAAATAAGTTACACAATATTGCATATTATACCCATTTCTTCAAGAACCACTGTGTATACTGGGAAGTTCAAATCTCTTTGATCTTCTTCAGTAAGTAAAATAGATCAGTTTAACTTTGACCCAGAATTGCCCTGATGTTAGAGACTCATTTTTATACACCCTGTTCTTGTAGGGCTCATTGTTTTGGGGTTGTGGCTCTAACAATGCTGGGTTAATTGTGCTTGGAAAGCATGGAGGTGGTAGATCAGAAGGCAGTTTCATAGCACATTATTACAGGCCTACAAACAACATGACATGTAGAGCTAACTTCTTTAAAGACCTAGGGAAGCCTATGTGTACTCAAGTGTTACTTCCTTGGGCTCCGATCATTGCTTCTAATGGCTGTGTGCCTGGATGTTGGCATTGCCTACTGTCTCTTCCTTGTTTCTCCCTCTCATTTACTATCAAAGGAGGCAGAGCATTTGAGCTGGTATCATTTTCTAGTATGAGGAACAGGTAAGGTAGTCATGGGACAGACCTGCAGGCACCTGAAACACTTCAGAAACCCAAGGATTGATCAAGGATGGTACATTTTGCCTGGAGGAGAAACATACAGTAGAGATAAACTCCATGAATTGGTCAGATAAACTTCTTTGGTTTGGAGAACTAAACAACCTAGATTATTTTCTCTAATGCTCCAGGATTTGAAGGATACAACAAGACCAATTTTGTAAGAGGGCCTAATGTATATAGGGAAAGAAGAGCCAACAGGCAAGGTCCACATGTTTTCTGGGTTAGTAAAATTGTGGTCAAATGTCATATTATAAATCTGATTTCATTTCCTGAAAATGCTCTTAGATTTTAAGTCCTTGAGGAGATGGGCCTGTGTTGGTGAAACTGAAGCTCACTTTCATTTTCGAATGAATGAGGGAGATGCACTTGGCCCATGGGATGTCCTTATCACCTCATGCCAGGAAAATGGCCCCACCTTGCACCATCTGCACCCGACATTGAGGGGAATAATACACATAGGGGTGATTCCTGCATGGGCCTAATTTTAAATGGATTTCTTTGTCAGCTCTCAAAACCAAAATAAATACTTGGGGATATGGATATGGGCCTACCTTTCTTTACATAGTTGGCATCAAAATGGTATGGATCAGTTACATCAATTTTTAAAAGCAGAAATCATTTTGAAATTGTCTTTGATGTTACCATTTAAGGATATTGTTAGAGAAAATGGTAACACCGCCACTAAAATGTTTACCGTATTTCTTTCTAATCACTACTTCAGTGTTTGTTATAACTCAATACCTAAAATGAGTTTGTTCTATACGTATTTCCAAAATGTGTTACCAAATAAGCAGTGATAGACATCACTTCCATACTTGGAGATTCAGAATGATGGCAGCCATGATAATGTCCTTTGCTCCATTTGGATAACATTTGCTCTGGGCCAGGCAGCGTTCCAAGAACTTTATGCAAATGACTCTTTACATATGTTAACCCACTTAAGAAATAGGAGGTGGAAATTAAAAAGTAACTTGTATGAATTTTTTTCATAGTGGGTTATAGGCCCTAAGAAAGCAGGAGTTATAAACTGGTTTTGTGTTTAATTCCAAAAGGATAATATTGTTTTAGGATTTCTCTTCTTCTAGAGATTTAATTCTTTCGTAGTCATGCAGTACCTCCTATTTTGACATAATTTCTCTCATAAATGATGATTGCATTTCGGTCTTTGTAGACAAAATGTAGGAAGTCACAGGCAGGCCCAGCCTTCCTCATCAGGCATGGATCCGCCTGTTCCTTGAAGAGCTGTTAGGCAGTGATGTGAAGCAGACTTGTAATTTCTCAGCTGCAAGCCTGACTCGCTGCAGGCCTCCAAGACTGTGTGAGTTTGGACCATGGATTGCTCTACTTAATGATTTCCTGTCCACCCACCCCTACCCCTGCAGATTAAATAGAGAATGACCAACTAGCCCATAATCAAAGCTGGGTTTGCCTTAAATAAAATGCTCTATTTCTAAAAAACGGTGTTTTGTGAACATACCAAAAAAAGTTCATTAT